GGAAACAACAAAAACGCAATATTTCTAAGTTACTTACATTTTCACTATTGTTGATGAACACTATGTAAAATAAATACTGTGCATGAGGTGTACTTTAAAAAAGTTGGGTTATAGAAAGAATCTAGTCTACGATTCTTATCTGTTGACCTTTCTTGAATTTCTGCAAACAACAAGTACGAGTGAGGCAAGGATTTTCCCCACCTTCAGCATCTGGCTGTTGAGTCATAGTTCATGTTGTGCACACCTGCAGTACAATTTTCAGATATCTTGTACCTCATTCATGGAGAGCATTTACAAAAACCTATCCAACTTCCTTTCAAAATTATTGTGAGCATCACTAATGATTCAGATAAAAAGTTAGTGAAAAATGCAGCTAGATTTGCTGATCATCACTGGGATATGTGGATGGTTTCACTAAATACAACCAGGACAATTTCTCCGGAACATCCCAAAAAAACCATGACAACAGAACCCAATACAATCTTCTCATATCATTTCTTGATATGCTAAAAAGGCTAAAAAAATGTTCATGTTACCTTGAAGACAAAATTATTTGCAGCTACAGTACACTGTCTATGACTGGGAAATAAAACATCTCAATGAAAAGCACTTTTTCCTCTGCTTGAGTTTCAGTCAGTCGGTCTCACTGAAATCCTAGTGATAAAACTATGGCTCTTCTGGTTTTATGAAAGGCTGCATCCAGCACTAGGGAAGATAAGCATTTCCCGCAACAGATAGTGCCAACGGGTGCGTACGCACATATTAAGTCGAAAAAGTAAGGCGAAGGTGACTTAACTAAGTCTACTTAAGTTAAGCCATGTTGAAGTGTACACACATACAGCTGCTTGACATGGTGGGAGCCATCGTGTGAGCTAAGTCAACTTAACTGATGTGACTCGAGATAATACAGCTCGGAGGTGTATTATCTTGTGCCTCATTTAAGTCAACTCTGCTCCACATGTGTGTATGCTCAGAGAGTTGACATGACTTTAAAAAGTTAAGACGGCTTAACTGTCAGAAAGTTAGCATGTATGTATGCACCCAACTATTTTTAGCCTCTAATCAAGTCATCAACTTCTGCCACTGAATCTTACTCTCATCAAGTTCTTTCACAGAGAAGATTATGGTAGTGCAACTATAACCTTATATTTATAGATTCCCTTGACATTAGGCAATCTGGTTATGAGCCCCTCCTTAATGTAAAAGAAATGTCCTTGTTATACTTGGTTATTTCTCCCTAGCTGTAGATTAGATAAAATAACCTTACTGAATATTTTCAATCTATCAGAAGACCCCAGGAATGTGTCATTCTATGCTGTTTCTTCTTAGCAGACTTAAAGTGTAATAGCAGGAAGTTGCCTGACTGCCTTGAGAACATCAATGAACTGAATTATCTATTTATAAGTGTTCAGTACAAACATGAGAAAACTGGAAAGGTTATAGAGGGGAAATGCACAATAATTTATTCAATAAATTGATTACTCCCAGGTGTGCCCACATGCATGTCTTACTATGAGCTATATATCACACCAGAACATATAAATTAGTTTCTAATGGTTTTAAAAATTAGATCAGAGGTAACTGGCTGCAGTTCAGGCCAGATGAACAGAGTTTGCAGTAACCAGGAAACAGATCAGAGTGCTAACAAAGATTGTCAGAGCTCAAAATGAGAGGTGGCACTGGCAACCTCATTAAACAGTTGCACAGAACTTAGGCCCTGTTAGGCTGCAGGTCATTCCTGGATGTCCAAAGAGAATTTCCTCCCTCTTCATCTGGATAAACTAACTTGAACATTTCCATTTGAAATGGAACTTGTCAGTTACCCACATCTTTGTCATATCAATGTCTATGGAGACCTCTTAGAAAGTGAAGGAAATACAGATTTCAGCATCTATTTCTCAACTAGTACAGTAGAAGTCCACAGAACAGAACAGCTGCCAATAAGTATCCTTGTAGAACTCTAAGCTTTGGTTTTAAACATCTAATTAACTTGGGAAACTATTATATGGGCGCAGTTTCATAGTTGTTATGGGCTAGAAGGGATCTTACAGATCATCGGGTCCAGCTCTCCTGCACTTGGGCAGGAAAGACTGGGATCAGATGATCCCAGCAAGATGGGCATCAAGACTTTTTTGAAGATTGCCAGGGTGGATGTTATATTGCTGCATGTGCAATCCAAGACCTCATTACTACATTTATCAGGTAGAAAAAAGGAACTCCAATAACTGGAGTTCTTCAAGATGCATTGCCTACATACCTGTTAGTCATGAATGTGTACATTTCACACCCTAACACTTTGACCAAACCCTTTACTGGTACTAGTACAGCGCAGAACACTATACTCCAGCCCCACGTCCCTTAGCTGTCCTTTGTCAAATGAAGTGTGCAGTTCCTGTTCTTCAGTTTCCTTTCAACTGCAGAATCTTGACTTCATTTCACTGATAAAAAGTGGAACAAGTGCAGATTCAAATGACTATGTGAACAACAGTAATAGTGGAGTGATGTTGTAGTCATGATGGTGTAGGAAGTATGAGTGAGGCAAGGATTTTTGTGGGTAATCTCTTTTATTTAACCAGCTGTATGTTTGGTAGAGAGAAGTTTTTGGGCACGATGCACCCTTCTTTGTATCTGAGAAAAAAGGAGACAGCTTGAGCTGGGGTGGAAGGGATTTCAAGAAGTCACCTGGGTGCAGCCCCTGCTCAAGGCAGGATCGTCCCTGATTAAACCATCCCAGTAAAGTGTCTGTATATCATAGGATTGAACAAAGAAGCATATAAATCTCAAATAACTCCAGTTACTGGCAAGTAATCCTTTTTTCTTCAAGAAATTATTCAAATACACATTCCTAACTAGATGACACCAAAGCAATGCCCATACACATCTAAGAGTGGTCTGAAAGTCCTCTATGCAAACAATGGTTAACTTGGGAAGGCTTCCATGATGGCACAATGCTTAGCCAACACTTGGATAAAGGTCCAAGTAGCTTCTCTACAGATACTACCTATGGTAACACCACAAAAGGGAGGTGATAGAGATGGTCTGAACTTCAATGGAGCGGGCCTACTCTGACAGGGCAGAAATCCAAAAAGTATTTGGGTTAAAACTAAAAGGCACAGAACTATCTAGTTATAAATATGAACAAGCAGAGACTAGAACAGGGGTCAGCAACCCCCGGTATGTGTGCTGAGCATGGCACACAAGGCCATTTTGCTCGGCACACCACCGCCAGCTCGAGCTCTAAGCAGCTGCTGCCAGCCACGGAACCCAGACTGCTCCCAGCAGGCAGCTGGGAGGCTGGAAGCCCCGCTGCAAGCAGACAGGGCTCCATGGGCCGGCTGCAGCTAGGAGACTGCAAACAGCTGCTCTGGCGTGTCAGCATTCCAGCACCTTCCAAAAACATTGTGGTTTTTTCAGCGCTGTGGCCAAAAAACATTGCCTACCCCTGGACTAGAAGGTGGGAAGGCTGGGCTCAGGGGAGCAGCAAGATAGGACCCAGAAGAGCATTTGTATTATTTACAGAGCTTCTTTGGGCTTCTTAGGGGCTTCAAAGAACAGGAGTCCAAGTGCCCGTGACAAAAGGCCAGAATGCTCTGTTATGGTTGACACTCCAGAAAATACAGAGAATCTGGGTCTAGCCTTGGAAAGTGAGGGGTATCTCCAGTCATCACAGAGTTGTCTTGGAGACCTTCAACATGTGACGGTTTTGTTTTAGCAATAATTGCTTCATACCTAGGGAAGCCTTTGCCTTCTAGGGGGACCTCGTGGCTTGCAGCCATTCCTCCTAATGATTGCTGTGGAAATGGACTGTACTACTGAGAACCATCTTGATTAAAAAACTGCCATTCAGAAAGGATCATTACAAAAGGCTCTACAGACCAATAGTAGAGTCAGCACAGAAAAGATAACACACTTACACAGCCAAAACTCATATTGGGCCAGCAAGGCTTGACAGTTGGCAATCTGAAATGGGAGGGTGGATGAGGAATATGATGCATATGCCCAGAAACTAGCTTTTTAGGTTCCTTATCTCAAGCGCTAGTATGGTATGCTGTAAGCAGGTCCTTTATCATTTTATGTATTGCAAACCACCAAGCAAATGTATCTCTCTAGCAAAATAAACAGAACAAACAAAAATCCTTCATCTTCTCCAGACATTAGAAGAGCCATTTTCTGCTCTGGCTTTTCCCCAGCACAGCAGTTTGGCTTTTCCTCCTTGCAAGCTGTTCTCTCAAAGCCTGCCCCTTCTGCTCCCTCCTCTGGGTTTTAAGCTCTCAGTTCCTTCACTAGCAGAACGTTCCACAGCTGAACATCTTTAACATGGCTGGCTGACCCTTCTGATACCTTAATCTTTTCATTCACTGCAAACACACATCTCAATGGGCAAACTGTTTTTACTCCTATCCGTCCTTTTTTCCATACTGAGACAGAAAGACTGGTGTATACCAGGTCAGCCAAACCATTTCTGGGATAGCAGCACTGAAAGAAATGGTTAGCTCTGACGACCCAAGCTCTAATGAATAAATCACTGACTTCCCAAGAAGGAAAAGTTTGTTTGGCTTTTCAGGTCTTGGCCTTGAGCCATCTGCAGATGGTGCACTTATTAGGAATGTTTGCTTTGCCAAGGCAGAACAAGCAGTGCGAACATCCATCTGAGGCTGAATTAACTCCACTGCAAAATGGGTATTCTTGAGCCCCTGTGATATAGGCAGAGACTGTCAATTCACAGACCATCCCAAATAAGAAAGGTACAGATATAAAGGTAATGAGGGACTGAAAAAACCCACCTCGCTAGACAAAACACTGCCTGGCTTGTGATATCAGAAAAAAGCAAGAGGAGAGCAACAAGACATCTTTCTCTGGCTCAAAGGCTGTGAGGCT